TAAATACAATCGAATATCTTGTGAAATAAAATATGTAACCTGGGAAGATAAATACTGCAATATTTTATAGGATTAAATATTTATAATCTCGAAAGATAAACAGAGACGTGTCGCCGGATTGTAAGTCACCGCGTTGGGAACTCTCGGAGGACTCGTGTTTCGACTTAATGACCCTAACAAAACGCACGTTATTTCGACACGGTACAATAAGCCGTGAGCGTTTGTCAGCTCGACGTCCTCGTTCGTGAGAGCCCAGCCGAAAACCCAGCCGATGCCGCGAGAAAATGACTCAAAGGCGAGCCGAAGCGTGGCGTGACGACAACGCGGCGATCGCACGGTTGAATCGACGCTAACGAGATTTATGATTGGCTTAAATTTTAAGAGAAAGTGGCTTTCGACGACGACAGGGACGATGACGACGATGGAAACGTGCAGGGTGGCGCACAGAAGCGGCGGGAATGCGTGCGCAGGGCGCATTAATCCGTGCGCGATCCGCTCGTCAGAGCCGCGCTGCGCTTTACCTTCATGTTTATTCTCAAAACGTCGCCCGTCCGTGCATACACACGCATACACACGCATACACATAAGAAAGGAAAGAAATATATTCAACGCGGCGGCATCACGCCACGCCGACCGCGCATTCTTGTTAAAACGGAGTCGTGAGGTCGCGTGAAAACTTCTCACGCATTCTTTTTTTTTTCAGCGGAAAGCACCGATGTCAGTGGAAGGACTCGCGCTGAATGATTAAATAACGGATGAGATAAGATAAGAATGCAAACAGGAACGAGGAAAAATCGATGCAATTAAATTATTATTATTACTCTATAATTATTGTTTCCCGCGGTGATCGTAAATTGAGTCTACAAACGGTTAAACGTCGATTGCAGCGAGATTCTTTTATTCTTTTTACGAAAAGAGTGTTACTTCTTTGCGAAATCGACGTCAGTTTGGAATCACACCGGCCGGCTTGGAGTCGATTGCCCAGGCAACGCTCTGGAAATCGGCGGCGTCTCTTCCTGCGGACAAAAGTGCGAGGTTCCGGCCGCGCTTTACGATCATTCTCATTAACAGTACAAATAGTCGTAATGGTTTTCCACCGCGAGACGCGGCCGCGTCTCATTACAATTATCCACTAGCATCCGAGACATTCGGTGCGCCACTGAAACGTCATTATCCGGCGTCCGGATATCTGTCATTGGCCGTGCGCCAATCAGGAGGCCCGCAATTGAAGACATCCGGGACATACTTGTTGCACAAAATTGAGACCTGGCGCTCGCGGGCGCTTCTGCCCGGCTGCGGGACGAAACCAGACATCTCGCTCGCGCCTCTCGCGCGATTCATTTATCTCGCAGCCGCGTGAGCAAAATAAATAAATCGAGTGTCAAAACGCATCCTCACATGTGTTCGGATGTGGGAGGAGAAAGCGCACGCGTGCACAGTGTTGCAACGGTGCATCCCAAGCGGCGAACTATGATTTCAAGGACGTCCGGCGAATTTACCTTCGAGGATTCTCGAAGAGACGTGCGTGATCCCCGCACAAACGTGGAATAAACACGGCGCGTGTTTGAGATGAGCGATTGTCCGCTCGTCAAACGGATGATTTTAATCGGATGGTCTGAAGATGGTTTCATTATTTGCCGCGTACATATGCTTAGAATAAATCCGAAGCGCACTTAATTTTTCAGCGGAAAAGTTTCTTCCATTTTACGCAACGTATTTACTTTAGTATTCACGGAGAAAGTCAAGTTTCAATAAATTTATACGTTCAATGATTTGAAAGAGATCGACAGATCCTAATGATGGAAGTCTAATCGCTTTATTTGATGGGGAAAACACATGCATAAATTTCGCATGTGCATAGATTTTGCCGCGCGATAGTGTGTTTTATCGAGAAGTCTTTTCTTCGTATAATTACTCGACGTCTCAACATCTGTTACGTGCTTTATATAATTCATTAAGATACTTGATCGTGATATCCGAAAAGGATCTTCCGAGGCAAATTGAGCTCGCGATCAAGATTGCGTAGGACAATTGCTACGGTGTTCTCTTGGAAAAGTCATTCGGAAATCCATGTAGCTGTGCACACACGTGAAGTTTTTCTTAGGAGACGCTTCCGTCACGTTGCATACGCGTACGTTGCATAAACGTGAGAAATGGCATTGGTAACGTTGCACAACGTCGGAGGGCCACCGAGAGGGAATATTAATGCTATCGGGTATTCATTAATATTAACATGCGGACATTTACAATATAATACTGCAAATTACAATTTGTACCGGATAAATGCAGCTCCTGCAGCTCACGTAATTGCCGCGCGCGTAATTTATAGTCGTTCGTTTCTTAATCGAAATCATTTCAAGGCATCCATTTCTTGAAATATAAAATAATTGCGAAGAAAAAAAACTTGTTAGAAAACAAACTATGATTATCCTTGGATGGATTTTTTCAACCGCAATACTGAATTATTATAAATTTATCGTAATATTGAAAGAAGATGTCCAATAATGAACTTTCTCACTCGAAGCTCTCTCGCATTTTTGCGCATCACTGACATTTCTTAACTAGAATATAGCAGCTTCAGGAATGCGCTTTCTCCACTATCAGTTTCGCGAATGCCTTATTTATTATTATTTATGACAAGGTACGAGCGATAGTGCGCAGCGTGCGCAACGTTCCCACGTTGCGCGCGAAGTATTCAGTATTCGAAAACACTTTGGATTTCGCTAAAGCGATATATCATTCGGTAGTGATTTTTTTCAATCATCGCGGCGCATCGTGATAGGTCCACGTGAGAGTTAATGTTAGCTCATAGTTCGCGGCATATATGGTAACGATACGATACGGGACCTTATAACACATTTACGTGTGTCACGTGTTGCTGAAGAGAGACCTTAGACTCGATTAACGTGATGAACGGCAGGCGTGTCCTCACGCATATATCACGTAGTATAATATACACATCCCTTTGAAGAAAAAAAGAAAGAGAGAAGCGATGAATATTTCAAGCGCGAGCTGGCGGCCGCGACATTATGCAAAATTGATAGCGAGATTGGAATCAGTCCTTCTTTCTCCGTTTGGCTCGTTCGCGGCGCGGGCGGGATGTGTCAATCGTGAAAACTAATTTGGCGATTTGTAATAATTGAAAAAATTGGGGTCATTGAAGAGAGGAGTTGGCTGTTTCCCGGACTTGTGACTCACTCGCCCGCTCCGGAGGACACGACGGTTTACGAACGGCGTAATTCTCGCCCGCGTATCGCGATCCACAAATTTGTTTTCGCGCGCCATTTGCGACCGGAACCAGCCACCGCAGCACGCGCAGTTAAATGATTCCCTCAAGATGAGTGCGTTAAGTGCTTCTAAAGGGACTGCGGAGGCGTCGCGTCTCGTCTCGTCTCTCCGTGGATCGTGATGATTCATCGAGCGCGCGTATCGTCCCCTGCTCGACGGCGCCACTTCCGGTTGCCACCGCGCACCGACGACGATGCAGCTCTGCGCCTGATGCAATCGAGGTGTATTTCGTTCCGGAAATTCCATATCTTAATGACTGCATTATACGCAAGGAAGATTTATGAAGGCTAATTTTACAAACAAGGAAATACACTCGTTGAATCCAACTTATCTCTGATATTTTTATCCATTTTAGCCTAATTACACATGCTCGTTCTACTATAATTTATTACAAGTTATTCCAAATTATCGCTTTCCAGCAAAATCTTTCTTTTTCAAGCAGAAATCTCGAATTTCCGGATTAAATTCGTGAAACAATATTCTTGATTTTTTATGAAAAAGAAATTACACGAAGGATTGCGCGTGTAGAATTACACCGTGCATCCCTCAAATATCGCACTGCGGAAAGTAGAAAGTTTCTGCTGTAGAATCCGACACTCCGAATTCGACGGAACGAGAGACTCGCGAAAGTTCTCACACCCTCCAGTGGTCTATTATTCCTCATCTGCTCGAAACGCGCCAGTGGTCGCGGCCTCAACGAGCTAATTTTACGAGCGCGCCGACTCGTCGTCGTCTGGTCTTTCTCATTGCAGCAGCGGGGTGGAAAAAGGGTGCTCGCTGCGGTTGTTTCATCGCCGTGAAACAGTAGCCGAGAGTGGACTCGAGGAACAGCCGGTCGGGCGGGAGGCAAGTAGAAAGGCAAGAACGGACGGGAGAGCAAGGAAAAGAGGAAAAAAAAAAAGATAAATAGGGAAAAAATCTAGAGGAGAAGATGAAAGAGAATAAGCGGGAAGGAGGATCGTTACTTAATTGGGGCCGAGAATGAGCCGGCCGGCGGCATCGTGACCTCAGAAAATTAGATAATTTTGATGTCACGTCCGCGAAGCAATTATCGCTCCGACCTCGTCGGACGTAGCCGGGAATCAATTAAACGGGCCGAAAGTTCAACCGGCGAGTTCAGGCGACCTCGTGAAATGCTTCGCGCTCTCGAGTGAACGCGACCGAGATTTCGGACGGCCGCGCGACGGAGAGATTCACGACAAAGCAACATTTTTATCATTTAACCTCTTAATCCCTTATACTTTAAAAGAAGATTACGGCTTTTGTAATTCTTTCGAAGTGAAGGAATTCTCTCATTGAAGGAAGGCACAAGTGCATTTCTTTGAAAGAAACACTCTAAAACACATTGTGTACGTGTCTAGTACTTTATTGTTATATTTTATACATCTTTATTAAGAATTGTGTGTGTGTGTTCACTCGGTTTATATTTTGCAACTTTATATTCTTATTTTAATTAGTCTTGCTTTGATTGAAAAATAGTCGTTGCGCGAGAGAGCGCCAGGACGGATATAGACGCATCTATAAATTTCTACCTGCAAAAAGTTCCGAGAAGCGCACAAACGCGCTTCCGGTAGTTACTCTTTATTCGCCTACTCTTTATCGTATGTGTGTCGTAATTGTCCTGCCTGCTATTATACACGCAACCTTACGTAAGCGGTTGTTTCTGAGCCGATGATGAGGCTTTAAGGAAACCATTATGGTTTTGTTTCCAGGCGAACGTGAGCCAGACCGAGTACGAGAGAGCGCACAGAGAGTACCTGAAACAAGTGCAGCTGTCGCAGGATGGGCAGCAGTCTAGAACGCGGCGGGACCTCCACGTATTCCAAACTGCGGGTAAAGTTACTTCAACTTTCGCTAAAAACCATCGGACTGGAAGTCGGATACGGATTTTCGCCCAAGCGAATAAAGAGACCCCGAGATCACTCTCGCGCGAAATATATTTTTATTCCCGGCAAATTCACGCTTATGGTATTTCGATCGTCTCGCATTTCCATCGCTTTATTCGCCGCCGAGTGATTCACGGTAAATGCAAAGTCGATAATTAATGAATAAGTCGCCATTGTAGCGAGTGTAAATTATGAAGATACTTATAGTTGCGAGAAGAATTTTTTAGCGATTTCCACGGTTGCTCATATTAAAAAAAAATGCTAGATCGCACTATCATCGATAGATTCTAATTATTATTAGCTGAATCCCACGTTTTCTTGCTTCCTCGAATTAACAGACGGATTACACACGGTTGCATGCGCAACCGTGTGAAAAACCGGGCACGCATACACACTCGCAGTGATGTATCCAAGAAAAATAAATGCGAAAAACGGGATTACGGGGGGGGATTATGTGTAACGATGCAGTTATCCGCTACGCGGCTGTCGATACGTCATGCCGTCTTCTCTCGCGAAACGGGACGCATTGAAATTCCGCGGTTTCGTTTCACAGCGAAACGCGCGATGTCGGTGATCGATCGATTGAAGAATGGGCAATAAAAATCGCGCATCGAGGAAGGAAAATGACCGAGGAGCTTATTCCTCCTCCGCCGCAGAAAGAGAGAGAGAGAAAGAGAGAGAGAGAGAAAAAGAGCAAACACCGCGCATGCGACCGACTGATATTCGCTCGTCGGAGTCGACGACCTCACGGCGCGCTGAAATTTTCCGCCAACTTTTCCGGCTTCGCATCGCCGACGTAGCCGATTCGCCAAGGCATTCGCGATTTCGCAAAATAAAACGCGCGGTTCGGCGTATCGCGCGATCGTCATCGATCGATCGATCGCGCGCCCGATAGGGGATCCCCCGCGGTACGAGGAAAAAGAAGCTTGCCGGAAGCGAGATCTAAAAGCGTGTTTCTTCAAGGATTCTGCGAAAATATACGCGCGGCTATTATTGGCCGTCCACCTAATTTCTCTCTCGTAGCGCGTAGCCGAGTGAGGAAAAATACTTCGCCGAGCGTTGAAGTACACTTCGCGAAGAGCGAACGTGAACGGGGAAGTTTGGACGGAATTTAATATCCCGTCGGAAGGATCCGCTTCGGGTTTTGACGACGTCTCGTAATTGAGCGGTCGGCGGACGAGAACGATACATGACGTTTGGAGTTTAAGGTTGTCGACCTTCAAATCGAACGGGCGGCGGCGCGGTGCGATATAATTCGTGGATGTTATTTGATTCTAATTAAATATCTCATCAGGACGCATATTGGTGAGAGATGCGTTATTTCAAAATATAACGCAATTATATATGTAGAGCAATTAAATTAATAATTAAGTAAAAAAATTCGAAGTAACTTGCTGATTTTCTAATCCAACACAAATTACTAATTGACGATCTATTTAAATATAACTTTCGCAATTTTAAGGTTAATTTTTTTTTCCATTAATGCATTATTGCACCGAAAGTCTCAATTCCTCCACGACAATAACTCTCTCTACAATTTATCTCATAAATGTAACATTTCTCCGTTTGATTGCTTCGATAATTAACCGAGCGAGATTCGCGAAATCTGAGCGAAATCCGAGGGCTCGCGGGGAGAAAGAAGCCCGTCTTACCAATCCCGACAAATTAAGACGTGAATATCCCACTAATGAATCTCACGAGCGGCGGCTCCGTTCGTCGGCGTGCGCGCGCGCGCGCGCGACTCCGCTCAATTACGGCCGCCCTGAAAGTAGTGGGTCAAAGAGATAAAAGTCGGCGCGCATCTGGACGGACGGGCCGGCGACCACCGTGTGTGCGCGCACGGCGGTTTTATGGCAGATAATACGGCCGCGTGTATGTACACGCGCATCGAGTGGACTCCAGCCCGTCCGTCCGTCCATCCGTCCGTCGAGTCGAAACCAGTCTGAAGTGGGTACTTGTCTATACACCGGGCAACGGGCTAGAGATCCGCGAAGCAGAAGTAAAAGAAGAAGATGAAAGAAGGAGAAGAAGATGCGGCTTCTCCCGATGCGGCCGACGTCTCTCCTTTTCTCTCCCCCTCTCTCTCTCTCTCTCTCTCGCGCCGCGGAGCGCGCGAGCGAGTCTGTCGTGCGCGTTGTGTGCGCGCACGGCTGTTATTATGAAATAGAAATTCCGACCGCGGCGGAATGCCGGGCGACGAGTTCCCCGAATGCAATAAGAACGAATCGCCGGGGCAGAAACACCACCGCGCGCGCGAACGAGAAGAAGCGGTCTGCCTTGCTTTGTCCGCGGGACGCGAATGGGACGAGGAGACCGGGCTCCGTGCCCGCCGGTTCGATCCGCGAAGGACCCTGAAGAGGCTTCTTGCCCTCTCCCTCCCCTGCTGCCACCCCAAGCCCGATCTCTCGAACCGCCGTTGCTCGGGATTCGTTTCAATTACCCCGGGCCGAAGTGCCTCTCGCCGAGCGCTTATTAGTCGCGGCTGTTAGCCGGAAAGATGCACAAAAAGATGCCAATAAATATGAAAGACGAGATTAAGTGGAGATTAAGCCGCTCGAACCCGAACCTCGTCCACGGGAGTTTGAAATTTATGAGTTGGACAAGAGAGAGAGAGAGAGATTCCGGCCGTTTGTCGCTCTCGCTATCGATACTCGCGCGATACTTTCGAAGCGCCATGGGCGCTTCTTCGACGCGATTCGACGAATGTGACTCTGCCTATATGCGGGACATTGCGAGATTCCGCCGCGAAATATATTACGCAGTGTCAGATTGATCGGGCTAATTTCGGATTTTCTCGTCTGAAAATACACGCCGTATCATCGTCTTTTATTAGATAACTGTTAGTCGCGAGCCTCGCATATTTCGCCGCTGGTAATGACACTTTTTCGCTTAAGTGATTAAAAGCTTTTTCGCGTTTTAGCGCTTTCACCTAATTTTCCCCTTAATTAGGCTTCTCTTTGCTTTTTTCATGGACGCGTAATGCAAAATAAAAATTTTCGTAATCCGGTTTTTTTAATGATTTCTATTTTTAACGATTCTAATAATAACTTTGATATTTTAGCTCATTCCTGCTAGTCAGAGATTAGTCGGAACTTCAAAGATTGTATCTTTGAGTAATTTAAATATTTATATCGCAATAAAAGATATGTTTTTCTTCATTCTTATCTTAATTAAAAACACGTTGCCTCGAATTCTTATATCTTGAACAATTTACCGTATAAATCCGTAATTCTCAATGTCGACCGAATTATTTCTCAATTGCACGTTCCGAATTAGCGCGCGTGTCCCAAAGCTAACTTTGTAACGGTGCTGTTGATCGGATTCCAGTTCCGGGCGCGATTTCGGGGAAACACTTATATAGCGACTATACAGCGGCGAAGGAGAGTCACCTGTGCGTGTATCGCGGCCGCGCGGCGTTTATTTTCGGTGCGTGCGTCGAGTGATAAAGCCTATAATAAGCACGGCACGCCGCGGCGAAGATTGACGAGCGGTGGCGCGCGCGGGATTATATTTGGGGGAATATCAAGCGGACTCCACCACGCGTTGTCGAATTCTCGTCGAGTGACGAAGGTGCCAACAAGCGCGCACATCGCGCCGCAGTTACGGCAGAAATCGTCCGGATTCCTGAGCGCTTTATCGGCTGGTTATTTTGCGCGATACCTGGTCAATCGCCAAACGGGCCACGTGAAGCTGTTTTTCGGGCATATGTATATATTTGTCGATTCATTGTCGAGGTCGGTTGTTTTGAATGAACTGCTGATGCGTCATCCCTTTGATCTCACGGTTCCTGTTCGGGAGATGCCGTCAAAATTGACGCATTCCCAGAAGAATGCGCGCGAATAATTCTCCGGATGTAGAAGTCCATTTCCTGAAGAATCGTTTATGGAGCAGAAGCGCGCGTGTTTCGCATATTTGCGGTTTGACCATTTTTCGCGTGTCTAAAATTTCTCGCCTTGACAGCGGAAGAGTGAATAAAGATCATGTAGAAAGGAGAACAGTTGTTAGCGCTGGCATTTCGAATAGTCCTCTATCTTTATTTTAACAAAAGATAAACATATAATTAGAAGAAATTAAAGAATTTAATTTTTTTTTTCGTATTTTCAATTTTGATATTTGCATCGAGTTTGGAAAATATATCGAGAATGTGGAGAGTTTTTATTGTACAAACCACTCGACGTCGATCAAATTGTTGATTGTTTAACAGAGTTTGAATTATTCTTGAGATAAAAATAGAGAGGTGTAAAAAGAATAAAATTCCGCTGCTGCGATATTCATCTCGCACCTTTTACTACACTTTAATGCTACAGCGCGGGATATGTGTAAAACATAGCCCTTGCAAACTGTCAGCGCTAAATGGTGTCACAGCGATAAATTACCGACATTGCAATTCGTTCTAATAACATTTCTCGATAGTATCGTTGCGAAGAAGTCATTAGAGAACCAGCAGTTCGCCTGTTAATCTAGGAAAAAAAAAACTCAGACTGTTGAATGTTGGAATTTAAATCGCTTGTAGGCGTAGCGTACGCGTCTAATTAGCGGATAAGCAACGCACACGCTCTCGGGTGACACGGTCTCTCTCGATCGAAGAAATCGAGCAGCGCCATTCGCGCGACATGCATCAAGCGCACTCTAAAAGTATCTACACCCTCCCTCTAAAAGTAGATCTTTCGCTACGCCGCACCCCGAAAAAACAAACCCGGGCGATTTCAACGAATGCGCGGGATGTGCACGCGCATGTCGGATTATTCGACGAACGCGATCACTGGGAAACGTCTGCGGGAAAACTGGATCGATCGAAGCCCGGTTCGCTAATCGTGCAGCATAGACCTTGTGTACATTAATTTCTATCTCGTTTACGGCGATTCCGTTTACGAAAAGATTCAGCAGATCTGCATCTGCTTCTGAAAATACGTTTGTTTATTCGGATAAAAAATAAATTCCTGTTATACGCTAGATTTTTGCGCGAGGTTCCTCGAAAAATTACATTAAATTTAATATTCTTTGAAATTTTAGGCATATTTCTCGTTTAATTTGAAATCGATGTTTCTTGAAAAAAAAATTAGCAGTTGACGACGAAGAGCGCTTAGCAAAATAAAAGGTGTTTCGAGTAAAAAACAGAACTATATTTTTTTTTCGATAAATTTACGCGAATTGTAATTTATTACGAATTGCGAAGGTATAAAATTGTCATAAATGAGGCTTTCTTTGTTTCATATTGACCAGAGAATTCGTAGTTAAGAGAACATCTGGTGGTTTTAGGATACTCTGCGTGTATCAAACATTTACAAGATCCTATTTTTCTTATCCAATCACGTGAGAAAATTTGCAGAAATAGACGCGAAGCTATTTGCAGAAGCACTTTCGTTGGACGGAGGATTAAAAGTATCCCCCCTCCCCTCCCCCCTTCCTTCCCCAGCGCTTTAAAAGTGGTGGATCCCGTGGCGCCACGAAAAACAAACAAATAAAAAAAAAAGAGAGAGAGAAAAATGGAAACGAACGTTTCTAACGAACAGCGCTGCACGTTGATAAATTATTCGAGGAACGTGATAACCGGGAAATATCACTGGCTTCCAAAAGTCGACCGATGTCACGAAATTTCTTCGGGGGAGGTTGCAGCCGTCCCCGTGCGTGCGACGTCGCATAAATAAAAGCGCTAATCGGTAACGCATTCTGAGCATGCGGCGAACCGTGGAAGGGCCCGGGACCTTCGCTTTCGCCGCCCACTTTCTCGACATCTTCATCGAGATATAAAAGTATAATTATTATTATTAAAGGAATAATTACGGTGTTAAGTCAGATCGACGGAGATTACGTTCACATTTTAATAAGCCGCACACGACGTTAGGTTTGAGACGCAGAAAATAAAGGAAAGAAAGAAAAAAAAAAAAAATGCGAGCGTGCGGAAAAGTGTCGCCGATCGATCGTTTATTTGCGGAATCTCCGCGGAATGCGGATCCCGATGAAAATAAACACTGTTTTCCACGATCCGCGGCGTGCCGCCGCTCGTTTATTCTCGCGGCTTATTTAAAGAGTTTCACGTGAGAGAAATTGTCAGGCCGCAAGCGCGCCGGCGCACATGGACACGGCATTTCGAGATAAAGCGAAGCATTCTCTCTCCTGATCCTTCATTTCTCCTCTTCGTGTCTCCGACTATCGAGATAACGCTTAATCGCCGCAACCGTAAATCTCGGGGGAGACGCAGATAATGAACCAGATAATAACGCCCGTACCATTTCGGACGGGAATGCCGACATAATCGCTGTCGCATCGCTCTCAGAGTACGTTGCACTTCTCTCTCTCTCTC